TGCAGGCTGGGCACTATGGCTCATGCCTGTAAAACTAGCACTTTGGGAGGCTGAGGCAGGTGGATCACTTCAGTTCAGGAGTTCGAGACCAGCCTGAACAATGTGGTGAAACCTTGTCTCTACTGAAAATACAAAAATTAGCTGGGCGTGGTGGTACATGCTTATAATGCTAGCTTTTCAGGAGGCTGAGGTAGGAGAATCGCTTGAACCTGGGAGCTGGAGGTTTCAGTGAGCCAAGATTGCACCAGAGCAAGACTCTGTCTCAAGAAAAATGAAAAAAGAAAAATGGAAAATTCCAAAATGGGGAGTAGAACCTTGTTTTCCTGATTTCCAGTCTAACCCTAAGATTATTCTTAGATTGCCTGAACCTTGAGGTCAGCATAGGGAATAGCACACACACAAAAAAAAAACCAAAAAACAACAAGAACAACAACAACAACCACCAAAAAAAAAAAAACCCAGAAATTAAAAAAAAAATTCTCTTTTAAAATGACAGGACAGTTGTTTGTTTCTGAACTAATTATCTTTTCCCCCATTTAGTCTTGAGGGATAAAGTAGGATTTGGGGTTTTAGTACTGCACTACTATTTCTTTTCTTTTTTTTTTTTTGAGTCATTGTGGGTCAAGAAAACAAAGGATAATGAAAATACTAAATGTTACATGTATCCTCTCATTTTGCAACTGTCTTATGATACAGGTAGTGCTCATGTTTTGTTATTTTTATTAGGTTTTCCTTGCTAACCAAAAAATAGGCTTTGGAAAGGTAGGTAATTTGCCTGAGATAACATAGCTGATGTGTGTCAAAGTTGGCCTTCACAAAATTGAACTCAGATTTTTTTTCTTCCGAAGTATAAAGTTTTGGGAAGAGCATTGATCAAGAAAACATTGGAATCTTAAAATGTCCGGGCAGCGTGGTTTGATTAGTAGATCACTTTGGGGAGGTGCGGCTCTGACTTACCTGAATGCAGACACAGCTGAGATCCTTGTGGTTCTTATGTACTCTTGTCAGCCATTTTCAGAGCTGCTTGTCACATCTCCAGTTGCTGCAGCCATCTGAGCCATGTGCTAATTAAAGGGAGTGTACTTAACACCTTGTCTGAAGATTTGCACCACATTGGTAATAGGGAACCTCTTTTCCTAATTAATCACCCATAAATTAGCAAAATATCTTTTTGTAAAATATGTTTGTGAAGTATGTGTCTTTTTTTTTTTTTGAGACAGAGTCTCTGTCACTTAGGCTGGAGTGCAGTGGCATGCTAACGGCTCACTGTAACCTCTGCCTCCTGGGTTCAAGTGAATCTCCTGCCTCAGCCTCTGGAGTAGCTGGGATTAAAGGTGTGTGTTACCACACCTGGCTAATTTTAGTATTTTTTCTAGAGACAGGGTTTCCCCATGTTGGCCAGACTGTTTTCGAACTCCTGACTTCAGGTCATTCGCCCACCTTGGCCTCCCAAAGTGCTGGGATTGTAGATTTGCCACTGTACCTGGCGAAGTATGTGTCTTATACAAAGTTGTTATAAAGGGTTAGAAGGAGGAAAGTGAAGTAAGTTTCAGGCTTGGTAGGCATACATATATTTATATTATTACCATTTATATTTATATAAATAATTTTTTAAAATTTATTTTTATTTTTTGGAGGCAGAGTCTCACTGTGTTTCCTAGGTTAGCCTCAAACTCCTGCCCTCTAGCAATCTTTCTTCCTCAGCTTTTCCATAGTTGGGATTACAGGCATGTTCTGCCACACCTAGCATTAAATATTTTTATAATTATATTTTAGAGATGCTGGGAGCAAATTTGGTGTTTATTACATTGTCTCATTAAACTGAAGAATTTCCACATGAGAATGGGTCTAAGAGCTTGACTATATGTAATATTTGACCTTTGGATTTACACTTTTGCACTGAAAGTCACTGAGTGGTTCTAAGCAGAGAAGTAACATAATTTAATGAGTGCCTTTATTTTAAATTTTTTTCTTTTAGCTTCTGATTCTCTGGTTGAATTTTTTTTTTAATATATTTTTTAGAGATGGAGTCCTACCATGTTGCCCAGGTTGGTCTTCAAATCCTGGGTTCAGGTGAGCCTCCCACCTTGGCCTCCCGAAGTGCTGGGATTACAGGCAAGAGCCACTGTGTTGGGTTGATTTTTTATTTTATTTTTTTTCTAGACAGGGTTTTGCCCAGTCACTCAGGCTAGGGTATAGTGGCATGATCTTGGTTCACTGTAGCCTTGACTTCCTAGGCTTAAATGATCTTTCTGCCTCAGCTTCCTGAATAGCTGGGACTATGGGCATGCACCACCACACTTGGTTAAATTTTGTATTTTTGGTAGAGACAGAGTTTTGTCGTGTTGCCCAGCCTGTCCTGGGCTCAAGCAATCCACCTGCCTTGGCCTCCCAAAGTGCTTGGATTAAAGGTGTGGGCCACCGTGCCCAGCCCCGTGATGAGTGTTTTAAAGCTACCCTTTTGCTGTTGAGTAGAGTTAGGAAAGGGTATGTTAGAGTTGAGGAACATCAGTTTAATTCTAATTAAACACCTGTGAAGAGACCTATATTTAAATGAGAATGTCAGTACTTTAGAATGAAAAATACCTGTTATTGAATTGGATATTTGGGTTGACTGGTAGATTGTTATTTTATTTCAGGATCCTCGGTACTTTTTGAAAGCTCCTCAGATGATTATCATAATGTAGCGAGGGGTTGAGAACTACTGCTTTATCTTAGGGAAAGAGGGACGGATTGGGGTAGAGGTTGTAAACTTGAGAGGAGGTAATCAGTGAAAAGTTTTGGAGAGTTTGGAAAGTGTAACCATTGTTTATATCTTCTTTTTGTAATTCCACTTTCATATTCATATGTTCAAATGCCTAGATGTTTTTGATGACACTTACTCAGCTTCTTTTTTTCCAGTCTGTTCCTTTTCATAAGAAGAGGAGGAGAATAGTGGACAGGGGTGACTCCAAATTTGATAAAAATTTGCTAGCATTAATTTAAAAATACCACCCCTACTTCTTCCTCTTCTTCTTCCTCTTCCTCTTCTTCCTCTTTTCCCCCTCTTCTTCCTCCTCTTCTTCCTCCTCTTCCTCTCCTCCTCTTCCTCCTCCTCCTCTTCCTCCTCTTCCTCCTCCTCTTCTTCTTTCTTCTTCTTCCTCTTTTTTTTTTTTTTTTAAAACACGGGCCACATTCTGTTGCCCAGGCTGGAGTGTAATGGCATGATTATTGCTCGCTGCAGTCTTGAACTCCTTGAGCTCAAGCTATCCTCTGGCTTCAGCCTCCCTAGTAGCTGGGACTACAGGCTGCACCACCATACCTGGCTAATTTTTAGACATTTTTTTAGAGATAGGGGATCTCACTATGTTGCCCAGGCTGGTCTCAAACTCCTGGCCTGAAGCAGTCCTCCTGCCTCTGACCTCTGGAGTAACTGGGATTACCAGTTTGAGCCAACATACTCATCTCCCCTCCTCCCTCTCTTTTTCTTTTTCTTTTCTTTTTTTTTATTTTTTGCAGAGACTGGAGTTTTGCTCTGTTGCCCAAGTTGGAGTGCTGTGTCTATTCACAGGTGTGATCATAGTGCCCTTCAACCTTAAAGGGATCCTCCCACCTCGGCCTCTCCAGTAGCTGGAACTGGAGGTGTGCCCAGCTGTCTTAAAAACTATTAAAACTGGCCTGGTGCGGTGGCTCACATCTGTAATCCCAGCACTTCAAGAGGCCAAGGTGGATGGATCATGAGCTCAGGAGATAGAGACCATTATGGCCAACATGGTAAAACCCTGTTGCTACTAAAAATTTATTTAAAAAAAAAATAGCTGAGCATGGTGGCGCATGCCTGTAGTCCCAGCTACTTGGGAGGCTGAGGCAGGAGAATTGCTTAAACCCAAAAGGTGGAGATTGCAGTGAGCCAAGATCGTGCCACTGTACTACAGCCTGGGCGACAATGTGAGACTGCATCTCAAAAAAAAAAAAAAAAAAAAAAAAAAATCTATTAAACCATCTTGAAGCCTAGTTTCAGTTGATCCATTAAACAATATATATGTGTGTATACACACATGCATATATGCTGTGTGTTTATCTGTGTGTGCGTTAGCATTCAGAAATTTGAGCAAACCAGCCAGGCTAATGTGTAGCTACTTAACTGCTTAAGCAGTTCTAGACTAAAATTGATTACTGATACTTCCTTTAATTGGGTAGAAATACATGTAGCTTTTCTTGTTTCTTTCTTTCTTTGAGACATAGTCTCTGTTGCCCAGGCTACAGTGCAGTGGCACAATCTTGGCTCACTACAACCTCTGCCTCCTGGGTTCAAGTGATTCCCCTGCCTCAGTCTCCTGCGTAGCTGGGATTACAGGCACCCGCCACCACACCTGGCTAATTTTTTTGCATTTTTAGTAGAGACAGCGTTTCACCATGTTGGCCAGGCTGGTCTCTAACTCCTGACCTCAGGTGATTTGCCTACCTCTGCCTCCCAAAGTGATGGAATTACAGGCGTGAGCCATCGTGCTTGGCCGAACATGTAGCTTTTTTTTTCCTTGCTGTAGGATTTTTATGTTTTGTTGATATCAAATTGTATCTTTACATTTCTTTTAAGAAGGAAACAAATTTATTAGAATGAGAAACTTATAATGGGGTGAAATGAATAAAATAACTAAAACTTATCATGGAAGTACTTTTTTGTTTTTTAGATTACAATCTATAATGGGGTGAAATGAATAAAATAACTAAAACTTGTCATGGAAGTACTTTTTTGTTTTTTAGATTACAATCTATAATCCTGAGTCATTAATTTATTGAGAAGAGGTGTTAGTTTTTTGCAGCTTAAAATTTTTTTCTTTTTGTGAGTTAACTGGAGACAGTAGAGAAGTTTGTAGGAGTTTTGGCTGGAGAGCACAGTAGTTACAGCAATTATATTGCTGGGATTTAAGCCAATACAGTTTAGGTCTAATGCTTGGTGAATGATTCTGTTGAAGGTCGTGCCTTTTTAAAGTGCCTTTTTTTTTCTTTTCTATTCATAGTGGTAGTCGCTCTTCTAAAACTTTTAAACCAAAGAAGAACATTCCAGAGGGTTCTCACCAGTATGAGCTCTTAAAACATGCAGAAGCCACACTTGGCAGTGGCAACCTCCGGATGGCTGTCATGCTTCCTGAGGGGGAAGATCTAAATGAATGGGTTGCAGTTAACAGTAAGTAGCCTTTCTATTTCTCAGTAGACTATGAATTACGGTAATAGCCTTGTTGTTGGTGAGTGTTGGTGCTATCCGTTCTAGGATTTAGTTAGCAAGCTAATATCATAAAAGAGTGATATCTCAATCTAACTTTAACCTTCATGTTACTTTATTTACTTTATTATTATTATTTTTTGAGACAGGGTCTCAGTCACACAGGCTGGAAGACTGGAGTACAGTGGTACAGTTACAGCTGACTGCAGCCTTGACCTCTGGCTCAAGCAATCCTCTTACCTCAGCCCCCAACGTAGCTGGGACTACAGGCATACACCACCATGCCTGGCTCATTTAAAAACTTTTTTTAGTAGATATGGGGGTCTCAGTATGTTCTGCAGGATGGTCTTTTTGCCTCAGCCTTCCACTGTGCTAGGATTACAGGCATGAGTCACCATACCCAGTCCTTGTTACTGAATTTCTGAATATGGAGTTTTATTAAATCTTGTTTCCTATTTTAATACAAAGCATAGATTTATTATCTTCATTACAATAATGATAATAATTTTTTATTTGTCATACACTAATTGTATAGACATGCCACTCTCCTTTCCACATGATTTTATTTTATCTTTATAAACTTATGATGTAGGTATGATTATTATTTCATTTAGTAGATTAAGCTGAGATAGTTAGTAACTTGCTTAGGTCATACAGCTATTAAATGGCAAAGCCTGGGCTCATATATACAGCTATAGAATTTTCGAGTCTATTGAATTAACAACCACTATGCCAAATTGCCTTTCTCATTGGTATACTCAGTAATTTGTCTAATTGTGCTTATTTATCTTTTATTTTGATTGATTTATTTAGTTTTTAGACGAAGTTTTACTTAGTTGCCCCCGCTGAAGTACAGTGGCACGACTTTGGCTCACTACAACCTCTGTTTCTTGTTCAAGCGATTCTTCTGCCTCAGCCTCCTGAGTAGCTGGGATTACAGGCATGTACCACCATGCCTGGCTAATTTTTGTATTTTTGGTAGAGACGGGGTTTTACCGTGTTGGTCAGACTGGCTTCAAACTCCTGACCTTGTGATCCACCTGCCTCAGCCTCCCAAAGTGCTGGGATTACAGGTATGAGCCACTGCGCCCTGCCAGTTGTGCTTATTTTTTTTTTCCAAAAGACGTTGAGTAGTAATCTTATGAAGTTAGTAAAATATGTTTATGAGATGTTCTTAACTCCTACAAAGACTAACATAGGAAAAGTAAATATATTCTTGGGAATTAAGCCAGAGAAAGTTGAGGAGTAAAAGGTTCAGGGTGTTTCAGCATTAGTAAAAATAATATAATAATAATAAGAATTTTATAATAGAAGGAAATTTATTTGAATTTAGTAAAAATAAAATGAAAGCTAATTTAAGGCATACACAAAATGTCTAGGCTTTAAGAAAAGCAAAACAGTATTTTTCTTATATTTAATGGCCTCTTACTATAATTTGAACTATGTCATGGGATGTATCAATTGAACTGCCCCCATCTAATACCTTTTAGGAACCAGAGGATTTTATTTTGATGTCTTAAAACTTACTGTGATAGCATTTACACAAGAGCCATATTATTATCATGGGATTATCCGCCTGAACCAAGAGAGGCTAGTTATTCGAAACAAAGTGATTTGTTTGCTTTATTGATGAGGCCAGTCATATTTCTAAGATAGTTCTGTGTCATCTCCAAGATTTATATCAGAATAAATCTCCAATATATGTGTACATTCTTTTTGTACTTGTTTGTGCCTTTTTGTAAAATTTATTTGAGAGTTAATTTACTAATGTTTAAAATGTAAGCATGGCTGTGTACAGCTTCTATATTATAGTAGATTCTGTCTTCTCAGTTGCCACAACTGAGTGTCTGTACCTCCCTTATCTGCTAGGGATACATTCCAAGATGACCAGTGGATTCCTAAAACCAGTGATAGTACTGAACCTTTTATATACTGTGTTTTTTCTATATACTACATACCTATGATAAACCTTAATTTATAAATTAAGCACAGTAAGAGATTAACAACTATTAATAACATAGAACAATTATAATTATACTGTAGTAAAAGTTATGTGAATGTAGTCTCTACCTTCCAAAATAATCTTATGGTTTACTCACCCTTCTTGTGATGTTTCACTCTGATAACCAAGATGGCTACTATAAATGATTAATGGGCAGGTATACATCATGAATATGCTAGACTGAGGGTTGATTCACATCCCAGGTGGACGGAGTGAGATGCTGTGAAATTTGATCACATTACTCAGAGTGGCACACAATTTAAAATTTATATATTGTTTTTTTCTGAAGTTTTCCATTTGATATTTTTAGACCAAGGTTGATCACAGATAACTGAAACTATGGATAGTGAACCCACAGTTAAGGAGGGACTACTGTAGTACTCTAATGCCTAGAACTTTGAAAACTTTTAAAATTTCCTAGTAATTCTATAATTTTACTACAGCTGGACAAAGATTGCTTTAGACTGAAGCATTAGAACATCTGCTTAGGACATATTCTGCTTTGAAAAATACAGCATTTAACTGAATTGTTGGACTGTAACACGGCACTCCAGCCTGGGTGACAGAGCAAGACTCTGTCTCCAACAAAAAAAGAGAAAGAAAATTTAAAATTCTGCTCTGGGAAAGACATTGTAAAGAAAATAAAAAATGAAGCCACTGACTAGCAGAAAATCTTTGCAGACCACATACATATTAAAGGACTTGTATCCAAAATATACAAAGAGCTCTTAAATTTAACAATAAGGGCTATGCAGGGCAATGTAGCAAGACCCTGTCTCTAAGAAAAGAATAAGCTAGCCAGAGATGTACATACCTGTAGCCATAGCTACTTGGGAGGCTGAGGTGGGAGGAATACTAGGAGTTCGAGGCTGCAGTGTACCATGATCATACCATTGTACTCAAGCCTGAGCGGGGGAGTGAGACCCTGTCTCTAAAAAAATGAAATAAAATAAATTTAATAAAAACATAAGGAGAGAAAAAAAATCAAACAATGAGTAGGATAAATAGATAGCAAATAGTAAGATATTAATAGTAGGTTGAAATCTATATATTATCAATAATAATTGTATTAAATGTAAAGGTCAAAATGGTCCAACACAAAAGTTGGTTGTCCGGGCATGGCGGCTTATGCTTGTAAACTCTGCACTTTGGGAGGCTGCAGTGGGATGATCACTTGAGCCCAGGAGTTTGAGACCATTGTGGGCAACATGGCAAATCTCTATCTTTACCAAAAATAAAAAAGTTTGCCAGGCATGGTAGCGCACACTTGTGGTCCAGGCTGCTTGAGAGACTGAGGTGGGAAGATCTCTTGAGCCTAGAAGGTGAATGCTACCGTGAGTTGTGATTGCACCGCTGCACTCTAGCCTGGGCGACAGAGCAAGACCCTGTCTTAAACAGAAAACAAAGAACAAAAAACCTCGATTATGTCAAGATGGCAACAAAGCAAAACAAATCTGAATGCTGCAAGATATATAAATATACAGATATAGAATGGTTGAAACTAAAGTTAAACACTAATCCAGAGAATGTTAGTAGTCATGTCAGATAAAGTAGACATTCAGGCAAAAAGCAGTGAAAAAGGATATTTTAAAATGATAAACATTTCAATTCTCAAATAATATATAAAATTCTGAATGTATATGTTTCTAATAACATCTCAAAAACTTATTAGTATTAGTTGACTGAACTAAAAGGAGAAGTAGACAAACCGTGGTCATAATGGCAGATTTTAACATTTCTCTTTCAGTAACAGAAAATATAGAAGAAAAAATCAATAACAAATTAGAAAAATTTGAACAACATGATTAACAGACTTGACCTAGGAGCACATGACCTAAGCACCTAAGAGTATATATATATATGTACATTTTCAAAAATCGACACCAATACTATCTCTAACCACAGTGGAATCTAGCCAGAAAGCAATAACAAAGAGAAATCTGTATATGTTTGGAAAAAGTATGTCTCAATAGAAATTAGAAAATATTTTAAATTGAAATTTGATGATGAAAATACTATATATGGAAACTTGTGGGATATGGCTGAAGCTCTGTTAGAGGAAATGTAGAGCCTTACATACATACATATATTAGAAAAGAAAAAATATTAAAAGTTAATGAACTAAGCATCAATCTCTGGAGGTTGGGAAAACAACAGCAAATTAAATGCAAAGAAAGTTAAAAGAGGTGAGGCCAGTGGTGGCCCATGCTTGTAATCCTAGCACTTTGGGAGGCTGAGATGGGTGGATCACAAGGTCAGGCGTTCAAGACCAGCCTGGCCAACATGGCGAAACCCCGTCACTAATGAAAATACAAAAATTAGCCAGGTGTGATGACACGCACCTGTAGTCACAGCTACTCGGGAGGCTGAGGCAGGAGAATTGCTTGAACCCAGGAGGTGGAGGTTGCAGTGAGCTGAGATTGCGCTATTGCACTGCAGCCTTGGCAACAAGAGTGAAACTCCGTCTCAAAACAAAATGTTAAAAGAGGTTATCAGTAAAGAACAGAAATTAAAAAAATAAAAAAAGAAACATACAATAAAGAGAATTGGGCTGGGTGCAGTGGGTCACTCCTGTAATCCCAGCACTTTGGGAGGCCGAGGTGGGAGAATACTTGAGGAGTTCAAGATCAGCCTGGCCAACATGGTGAACCCCATCTCTACTAAAAATACAGAAATTAGCTGGGTGTGGTGGTGGGTCCCTGTAATCTACATACTTGGGAGGCTGAGGCAGAGTTGCTTGAATCTGGAAGGTGGAGGTTGCAGTGAGCTGAGATTGCACCACTGCATTCCAGCCTAGGTGACAGAGCAAGACTCCATCTCAAAAAAAAGGTGGTTCTCACCTTAAACTTCATATGGAACCAAAAGAGAGCCCGCATAGCCAAGTCAATTCTAAGCAAGAAGAACAAAGTGGGAGGCATCACACTACTGGACTTCAAACTATACTACAAGGCTACAGTAATCA